CAATTTCCTGCAGTTGTAAGACTAAAGTCCCCATTTTCTTGCTGGCTCTCAGCCAAGCCCACTCTTAGGTCCTAGAGACCACTCTCAGGTCCTTGCCGTGTGGCCCTCTCCAGACGCCCTCCCGTGCTTCAAGTCTCTCCCTTCGGGGGGGGGGGGGTTCCAGTCTCTTTAAAGGGCTCACCTGATTAGTTCAGGCCCATCGAGGACACTCTCCCTTTTTATTAAACTGACCCAGGACCTTAATCACATCTGCAAAAATCCCTTCACAGCAGCCCTTACAACATTGTTGGCCTGAATAAGTGGGAGAAGGTGTGCACACCAGGGAGCAGGAACCCTGGGGGCTGTGTTAGAAGTCAGCTTGCCACGTCATCGTGAGTTTATTTCTCTCTCACTTTACAAGTCGGGTTCAGTGTGGGTCCACGAGGCTTCTCTGCACACCCTAGTCAGTCAGGGGCCCAGCCTACAGATGCTTTGTCTCCATATGTCCCTCTAGGATCACCCCAAAAGTGGGAGGGACACAAGGCTCACCCCACACCCTCTTTGTGTGGCATCAGGACTAAAATCAAGGCTAGATGCTGCATATTGCCTCAACATCTGGTCCAAGTAGGAGGGCCTTGAGAGGCCTCACCCTGAGGCCCCCACCACTCTGCTCCTGTGGAAAAGGCTCCCAGTGAAGTAGCCCCCTCATCACGGGGACCAATGCAGTTCCTGCTCACCCCTGAGAATCCCTGGTGCCCTGCCAGTCCACAGAGGTAGTCAAACAAGACAAGCACATAGGCCCACCGGAACCAAGGGGACACCCCTCCCTCTTGATGCTATGAAGTTTGCCTCCTAGAGTCTCTCCTTGTTCACTCTGTTCCCAGGTGCAGCCCCACATGTCCCTGCATGGCATGCAGCGTCCTCACCCCTGGGCTGTGGGGTCAGTGATAAACTGCTGCTGGCCTCATCTGTCCGGTGGTGAAGGCCATCTGAATGGCCGTCCCTGTAACCCCAGGGTGGGGATCCCTTGCCACCAGTGGGGTGAATAGGAGGCCATGAAAACACTGAAGGCATCAACCCCATCACCCCAGGAGTAACACAAGGTATTCTGGTGTATTTTTCTTTGGCCATAGAGAATCCAACTAACTTCAAGGAATGTTAAAAATATCACACCCTGTGTTCAAAAAGAAGTGAAATCGGAAATCTTCGGTGACAGCGCTTATGATCCCCACCATGGCTCAGGACACAGACTCTGCAATCAGACTCTTCCTTTCACTGTGGTGGAATTGAAGACAAGTTGCTCAGTTTTTCTGTCCTTGTGCTTATTCTTTCAACTCAGCAGTAAAAAGAGAAAAAAAAAAGACACATTACTAGCAAACCTAGAGGTTCTTCATGGGGATTGAGTTAGGAATGCAAGTCAAGTTCCAGACGTTTGGACCAGTACCTGTTCTCATTACTCATTACTCGTGATAGTGAGGAATTCCTGACTCTGTTGCAGTGTTTCCTGACTCACTGAGAATTGTTAATCCACGTATAGAGAGTCACTAAGTTATACGTTCACTCTGTAAGTATTTGTTGAGCCCATATACGCTCCAGAAAATGTGATAGGCCCTGAATATTGAACAGCGATGTAAATGACAAAGTTCTGCCCTCGTGGTGTTTACGTTCTAGAGCAGGGAGACAGACAATAAACACTTGTGTTAGATGCTGATAACTGGTGTGGAGACAAAGAACAATCAAGCTAAATAGGAATCTGAAATTAGGAAACAGGGTAATTAGTACAAGACTCTTACTGCGAGTTACAAGTTGACATTTGTGTAGAGACCAGAGAAAGTGACATATGGTCAATTGGCTATCCATGAAAAGAGGTTTACAAAAGAGATTGCACGTGCAAAGGCCCTGAGGCAGCAATCCACCTTGTATAAGCTGAGGCCCATTAAGGAACTAGTGTGGAAACAGAGGGGGCTGGGGCAAGAGGAAGTAGCAGAGTAAGTCAGGGAGGTGGGTAGGGGCAGGGAGGATGGAGTAGGGGCGAGTACAGATAATGTAGGGTTCTCCAACTCGCTGTAAGGGATCAGGCTTTTTTTGAATGAGAAGGGAAGCCAGTGGCGTGCCTGGTATGGAATTACTGCAGCAGCTGACATTTAAAGGATCTCTCAGTTTTGTTGTTTTTTTTTCTGATTCTAGACAGTAAGGCTCTCACCTCTGGACTGATCACGGCTCTTGTCTCTAAGATGGGGCTTCTCCGACAGGCTGCCCTGCAGGGACCTGGCATTCCATCTGTCTTCGGTTTCAATGCCCTTCCCCCACCCTGCCCCTGGGGCAGATGTCCTTTAGTCCTTTCATTGTTTCTGAACCGAATGCTCTGGATGGATAGGAGGCTCAGGAACGTCCCTTGGCTGTCTCTCCTTGTTCACCCTACCCTAGAGAGCGTGCCCTGGGCTGGACCAAGGACAGCTCTAGGTCCAGTTTCTCAACAGGGACCATAAAAAGACACACAACCGCTCCACTCACACAGATGTGAAATATCACTTGGTCTTTGCAAGTGGGGCTAGTGGAACAGATGACTGCATCTCTGCAGCGGATGGCGTAGGTTATAATGAAAACTTGGTGGAGGAGACAAAGAGATATGAACCGAGATTCATGCCTCACATGGAAGGTAGGACAAGCAGTTCTTGAACATCCTGCTTAGATTTTAATCTTGTTTTAGCAGCAGCAGCTCCAGTTAATGTTTGCTCAGTGCAATAACGTCATGTGGATGGACACAGAGGTGATCATGCTATTTATCTTCTTACAAAACTCTTCTCAACTGGGGACCTGTGATAATGTGGTGCTTGAGAAGGCTGGAGACAAAAGTCACTCCAGCGAAAGGGACAGCAAGGAGTCGTTGGTGAACAGGGCTGGTGGGAAGCCTGCAAGATGCCCTTCCCATGGGACAGGCGACCTCTTTCCCTGGGGTCCCCCAGCACGCTCCCTGCCCCGCCTCTGCAGCCCTCTGCTCCTCCCGCCATCTGGGGTACGGAATCTGTCCGTCACAGGCTCCTCTTCCCACTCACAGGAGCCTCCCAGTGGTCTTCGGTCCTCTCTCCTCCATTCCCGCCTCTAGGCTGCTGTCAGAATGACCTGCTCACCCTGCCTGCATTCCCTTTTTCCATCTCTCTCAATCACTTCCTTACTTAAAAAAAACAACTCTCTTAATTACTCCCTCTCATTGACTCAGCGGTTCATGAACCTAACATGCAGAAAATCACTGATTTTCTGAAACACGGGCCAAACTGCCTCACTGGCTCACAGGAAAAAATTTTACTCGCTTCTTATTACCCACAGAATAAAAACCTCGTACCAGCCTCGGCTCCAGATGCTCTGTGATTAGCCTCCATTTACCTGTGAGGGGCCCCGGGCCGCCTCGCTTCCCAAGAGACCTAAACTCTGTGCTCCGTCCACTCACCCCTCCTTCATTCTGCCACGGCGCCCGGATCACGGTGTGGGTGTGTGGCGGTTCTTACAGAGAGAGGAAGCCCTCATCGGGAAGGGCAGCACCCTGGGGAAAAGGCACGGCTGGACACGCTGAGGGAGCGAGACCGACAAGGGCAGGGGGACACCGCGTGAGGTGAGAGGGAGAGACGCACTGCAGTCGGGGAGGGAGGAGCGGTCTGTCAGAGGTGGGGATGGGCAGAGAGACATACCGGAGAGAGACAGGGCGAGACAGACAGAGATGTCTCTCTTTTTTTTCACCGTAAACACACGTAAGTCCTTCCATTAACACTAAGATACACCCTACTTTGAGAAAGACGTAACCACAGCAGAGCGCACGCTGTTACACACACAAAGGTTTTCACAGGCACTCAATTTAGGAAACAAGTTAGGAAAAGCAGGCCGAAAACAAAACCTGGATGCCTCCTCCTACACCCACCCCGAGTGTCGGAGAACCTTGACCATCAAAACCTTCTTTGGACTCGGCCAACTCATTCTTCCTGTTGTATGAAAACCCTTCTTCTTGGTCCCTGTGAGGGACGGCTTAACATACAGAAGCAAAGTGGAACGTGAAGAGGACAAAGACGTTCACGGCATCAGAGATATGGATTCTACACCAAGCTCTGTGCCCTAGACAGGCTCCCTGTGCCTCAGTTTCCCTCTCAACTAGAGCGCGACTTTTCAAGCTGTAGGTTGCGGTGCACTGGTGGGTCGTGACATCTTTTTAGTGGGTTGTGATGAGCATTTTTATAAAAAGGAAATAAAACAGCAAAAGTCGAGGGCGTGTGTGGCCATGGTAAGCACCATATCACTAAGATACACTTAGGGGTGTGTATACTGAGTCGCAAAGAAGTTTGATTCTTGCAGTGGATTATGGTCAACATTTTTAAAGTCACTGGATCAGAGGTTTTCCAAGGTGTCTGAGACTGTTTCTTCAAATAGAAAAGGCTAGAATCACACCCTCATGTCTTACACGGTTGTGCGCGTGGACTGAGGTGGCAGGCGAGCAGAGGGCCAGGAGGTGGGTCGTCTCATTCTGCACCGACAGGCGCTGCTCCCCCAAACCCTGACACTCACCGACCTCCAGATGCAGCACCGACTGACTGAACGAGAGACGCTGGTCTTGGATCCTATTTTAAAATCATTTTGTAATAGTTTATAATGAAAAAGAATATGAAACGGAATGTGTGTGTGTGTGTGTGTACAACTGAATCACTATGCTGTACCAGAAATTAACACAATGTTCTAAACCAACTATACTTCAATTAAAAAAAAAGCAAAAACAAAAACAAAATAATGATGAAATCATTGCAACAATGCTTCTCCACACATGGAACCTTCCAACATCTTTGGATGCTTGCACTCCTGGCCCCTCTGTGGATTAAAGCACCCAGCGCAGGGGAGAGAGGCATCCGTCGCCCAGGAGCCAGCCCAGCCGCACACGCACGCCCCTGCGCACGCGCTCCCCCCGGGGGAGGAGGACAACCCAGGCCCGAAGGGCCACGCACAGGGGGACGCAGGAGATGAGAAAGGAACTGCCACGCGGAACCGAGGAGCAGGAAACTCGGATTTATTGAGCACCTGTCTGTGCCGGGCGGAGCTTACACACAGGCTCGATGCGGTTTGTCTCAGAGATGGGAGCTGGAGGCCCAGACTTCCCAGCCCTGGCCAGCACCCCGGCCAACTGCCCACTGTGAGGCGAGCACATGGGTCTCTGGACCTCCTTGCTTTAAAATTAAAATGAGTGACACCAACCGCGAGGAGCTGGGAGGGGTCCTTTCCATGGCTTAGACGCCAGATGAGCGCCCAGGGGCTGCTTTCCACACCAGACGCCCCATTTTGGGCCCAGCCATAGCATTCTGCGACGCTGTTGCCAGCCATGTGACATAATTTCGCTTCTGCAGGTCTGAAACCCTGAGGTGGCCAAGTCTGCTCCCCAAGGACGGATTCTGAGCTCTGCTCTGTGCGCTTTCCATCAGGAGGAGAGAACATTCCACGTGGCTACAAATTTTTTCTTCTTTCTGCTTCACTTCTCTCTCCTGGGAAGTAACGACTTGTGGATAATTTCTCCCTGGGCGACCTCTGGGCACAACGAAGAATAGAAGGCTATTGTCTCATTTTCTTAAAGTTTCCTTTTGAGGAAAGAGGTACATTTGGCAAGTGACTGGCAGGGTTTCATAGCACCAAGAGTTTCCTTAAAATTGGCAGCTACACTTCCAAATGGGGGCTGTCAGGAGAACAAGTGACAATCCACTCCTCAAAAATCAAGTTTTCCCAACTTTAGAGGAGAGGGGAAAACTTGAAAAGCATTATCATATGAAATAATAATAATAATAATTATAATAATAATAATAATAAACAATAATAATAATATTAATCTTAATCTGACCGACCGGCAGCATCTGTTGGTTTTAATAATCTTGAGGTCTCTTAAGGAAATAAAACAAAAACCAATGATAAAGGAAAGAAAGAAAGAAAAAACACATGGCTGAAATGCTTTAAGACCTCTGGCTTCCCATTGGGCTCTGAGTTCAAGTTTCACAAATCCACCGCCGTCTCCTGGCATTCCAGAATCTTCTAGGGACCCTTCACATTCCCAGGTTGGGCAGCAGCGAGGCTGGCGAAGTAGGCACACTGGGAGGGGTCACAATGGCCAGGGGGGCCGGGAGGGCCTGGGGGGCCAGGGTGTCCAGCTGGTCCTGTCTCCCCTTGAGGGCCGGGACTGCCGGGGAGCCCATCTTTAGCATAGCCAGGTTCCCCGGGTTGACCTGCCCGAGGAGTAAAAGAGACAGAAGGCGGCTCAGGTTCCTTCTGGAGCAAATGAGCCCTGCTCTCCCATCTTCCATCCCACACAAAGTAAGGGCTCAGACATCCTCAGAAGAACACCCCATGGTCTGGACGCTCTGCCCGGAGGGATTACAATGGTCCGCATGGACACCAGACAGCAGGGAACCCTGCTATGCAGAAGGGGCTGCCTTGACTGCTTGGACTGGGACAATAATCAGGGTGCCTCTGGGGAGGAATGAACAAAGGGGAATGAGGCCGGGTAGGGAACACGCTCTCTGTTATGAAAAACCAGGCCTTCTATGTTCTCACGTGGTTCTGGGAGACGCATCTGAACTGGGAGTGGGACACCAAGTCCTCATAATTACCCATCAGCTCCAATCCATGCATCCTTAGAGATGCCTGGTGACACCTCATTATCCAATATCCAAATTGTCCCATTTATTCTGTAGTTTCTATGCTTTATCTATGTGTTAAATTCGAACCACATACTGGGACTGTGTTAAACTATTCTGCAAATCATAGTCAAAGACAATGTAGGTAAGAAGTAAGTAACTGACAGCAGTCAAAATTTAGACTTAGAAAATATTACTTAAGACACACTTCTATGTCTCCATTTCTTATGCATCATAATATATATAATCAATCTATCTCCCTTTTTGCTTTGGCAACTGGGAAGCTCAATGCTAAGTGTTGTAGTTAGCCTTGACAGTGATATTCTTTCTTAAGTCTTAGTAATCACCCTGTTAGAAAATCCAAGTTCCTCTATAAAAGAAAAAAATAATGAACTTTTTCCTTTAAAAGATCTTTTGACACTGCATGAATTCTGTCCGTGCTTTGGTAGTGGTCATTTATTCTGTACTCCTGCCTCTATCAAGTTTTGAGACAAGCAGGGTTATTCATTCCTTCAGGTAGGAACCACTAAAGTACAGACATTATCTCAACCTCATATTAGTACAATTATTTCCCCATCTAAATGGTTTCTGTTCTGCCTGTTAATCTCCATTTGGAATTGCCTTGTTTTAAAATATTCTTAATATTATAAGCCATTGAAAAGTAGGCAAGCTGTCAAACACTTTATAATGTATTTCCGGTTATCTTCGCTAATGACAACAACAACACACGCGCCCCGCAGGAAATCTGGAAAACCAAGAAGACAGAAATACGAAAGTCAGAGCCCCTACAGGCTGGGTACTCAAAAATGGGCTCAGGGAGTCACAGAAACTAAATTTAGATAAAAGCAGACGCCTCAGTGAGGTGGAGTTTGGTAACAGTTCATCCTAATTTCTTCCACAGCTCATCTCGGAACGCGGGGCTGCTGTGTTCCGGAGGCCTCCCCGTCAGCCGCCAGGCAGGAGGCCAGCCTGTCCAGGTCGTAAACCTGAAGGCGCCTCGGCCCAGGACCCCTCAGCCCCAGGACGGCCGGGCGGCTGGACACCCTACCCTTTGGCCAGCATTCCCCACAGGATGCTCTGAGAAGAGTCAGTACATCGTGAAGGAAAAAGGCATCCTACAATCAAGTGAGTGTGGAAAATGTCGGCTTAACTGAAACGAGTGTTACTTTTTTACGCCAGGTTCCTTCACAGCGCGTAAGAGAAGGTAACTGGAACCGGGGTGTCTAAGGGAAGCCCAGTTCCCGGCACTGTCCAGACTTCTCTAACCCCAAATCAGGAGCTCTCAGGATGTTAGTTCACGGGCTCCACTTCAAGAGCTCATGGGATGCAGCACAGTTCTCACAGCACGCCAGGGAGCTGGCACTTTAGACGGATTTAACAAAACAACCTGTGCTCCTGTCTCCCACCCCACCTCCCAGCCTCTCCTGGGGCCCGTGGCCGCGCAGGCCAGGGAGCTGCCGTGTGTGTGTGTTGGGGGGTGCGCTTCTCACCCCCGGCAGACGGCCCCCCACAGCCCCAGACCCCAGCACCGTTCCTACCTGGGATTCCGGGGGGGCCGGTCTCGCCCCGGAGGCCGACTCCAGGGGCACCTGGGTCACCTCTGGCTCCTCGCTCACCTGGTGAGAAAACACGCATCTCTGACGGCAGAGGCCCGTGACGAGGGACAGAGGGGTCTCCCCACGCCGGGGGTGGGGTGTGCGGGGCCAGCACTGCTGGTGCAGCTTTCCCCTGCCCACACACACTCGCACCCTGGTCCTGTTCACACACTCGTTCACGCCACTCACTCGAGCACCCACTTGCGTTCAGAAGCAGCCCACGGGACGCCAGAATGCATGGCCACTCCCTCCAAAACACGTTCAATTACACGTGGGGACGTGTAAACATGTGCTCCCGGGTACAACGACCCGACTGCACACGCACACACGCACACTCACACGTACACGCACACCCTCGTAAACACACCAGACACGCCCACACTCTCTCCTACACACACCCCCATGGCCACACACATCCACTCACTCGCCTGCAGGACGGTGTCCTCAGAGCATTTTACGAGCCTTTCTCAGGAAGGAGCTGGGTGATACACAATTTTGCATTTGCATAAGACTCTGCTCTCAAGAAGCTTGAATTCTAGTGAGGCAGCTGCAGTGGGGCAGGGAACACTCTGACGTGAAGCAGACTTGCGTAAGCACTGATGATCACAGGAATTCAACGCCACAACAGAGATGCAGCAGAGAGCGGGCCCGTTCCTTCCGGAAGGGTGTCTGAGATTGTGTTGTGGTTAACGCTATACAGATTTGATCGAAGTGTCCCTCGCAACTATTTTTTTCACCATTCTTTTTTTTTTTTTTTTTGCTATGTTGTTTCCAGGATACCTCTTGTATGCAACATACTGCGTTTTCTTTTAGAATCCAGATTGAAATGCTGCTAGTTTATGGAGACTTTAGGCCATTCTTATTCACCATTGTAATGACTACAATCAGTCAGTCACAGCCCGATGTTTTCTGTGCATTATGCTCCCTTGCTGACGTTTAGTTCGCGTATTTCGCCTTACTAACCAACAGAAGCAGGACTTGGACACAAACTTAAACAGCCAGTAGAAGACGCATGACGAGGAGTAAGTCAGTGAATGAAGAATTAAGACAGGAAGATTGGAGGAGGAAGATGTTACCGGCATGCATTTCCCCAAACGCCAGTCACCAAGTGGCAGCTAAATCAGACCACTGCTTCCTTCCCTGCCCCATGCTTTTCTCTCGACAGAGAGAAGGAGTGAATTACCAGGTGGATGAGTTTGGGGTCAGGTCCTTCCCCGCCCTTTCACAGCTGTCAGCCTGCAAAGAGACTGCCTTCTGGCCTGCTTGCACCTGTGGGCTATGTTACGCAGGGCAGGCGCTGGCCCTCGCAGGGGGGGCCCTCTGCTGTCCAGAGCAGCCGTGCCCAGCTAAGGGCCCTACCTGAGAGCTGGACAGCTAGTGACCATTTCCAGCTTTAGCTCAAACCACTTTATTCAAATGTAAAGCTGGCTTTTAATGCCCATTTGCCTGGAGATGGTCTTATTCATCAGTTACTCCCAAACTCAAGAGAAGAGGGCATTTTGCGTTACCCTCTGAAACTTGACAACGGAGATGGAGAGAGAACAAGGAAGTAGGAGTGAACCGATTCAATCCTCCCGGCAGAAGCATAATTTTACAGAAATGTCAAGTATGAAAACCTCTACGCATATGAAAAAATTACATGATGCCAAAACTCAGGGTGTTACCAAGCTGCCGGGGATGAGAAGGGCATGAATTATGCATGTGCAGCTGGAGCGAGCGCCACACACCCTGGCTCCTCCTCTGCCCCCGAGTCGTCTACCAGGCACATCTTCCGGGTCCTCACTCACCTTTGGGACCCATGGGTCCAGAGGGTCCTTCCAGACCCCCTTGCCCAGGCTGTCCTGGCTCCCCCATGGGGCCTGCCCGACCTGGAAGCCCATCTTTTCCAGGCGGCCCGGGGGGCCCGGGTCGGCCTTGGGTGGCCTTCACGTGCGCGGAGGGCATCTGGGCCAGGAGGTAGGCGAGTTTGGCTGTGGAGTAGGAAAAACAGAGGCATTTCACCAAGGAGGGATAAAGGGCCAAAGGCAGGACGACGACTCGCTGCAGAGCTCAGACCGAGGAGACAGTAACGGCCACTAGACAACAGCAACAAAGACCCCGCGGACAGCACGCTGCGCGGCCCGCGCCCTCTGGCCTGGGGCGGACTCGGGCGCTGCTCACGGGCACTGCTTCCCGGGCCAGGCTGCCTGCGCTGGGTCCCAGTGCAGCCACCGCTACTCGACCTCGTAGCCTCTGCTGCCTCTTCTGCAAGACGGAGGCAGGGAGGGAGCACCTACCCCGCTGGGTCGGGGGGAAGACGGAACAGATGAGACAAGGTGCTAAAACTGTGCCCGGCACAAGGTGAGTGCCCGGGGACATCGCTGCGACCATCCAGGCAGGACGGCAGCTCTGACAGGGGCACCAGCAGCAGGAGTGGCTGTCACTGTCAATCTGAGGAAGCTGAGGTCGCTGGGGGTGGGACTTCAGTGGCTTACCCAAAGCTATTTAGCGACTTTCCCTTTGGAAGTGCTGAATTCCTCACCCACAGAGGAAAGGCTGGGGATGATGTCATTAACGATCCTTTGGTGTCTAGCATGCTACGATCACAGAACTGGCTCAAAAACCCAGATGTCATTAACGATCCTTTGGTGTCTAGCATGCTACGATCACAGAACTGGCTCAAAAACCCAGAGGTCCAATGGCCGGCCGCCTCTCTGCTGCACTGGGGACGCAGTGTCCACCCGATGGCCACCAAGAGCTTTTCTCTGTTTGCATACAGTCCAGCAAGCAGGCCAAGCCCTTCATCTTGCAGGTGGTCTGACCCAGCCGGAGAGGCAGGGCGACACCCCCGGGGTCTTGGTAAAACCAGGGCCGGGTGGCGGTCTTCGGACTGCCCGGCCGACGGGCTCCCCAAGGCAGCCCCCGCCCTGTCCCGCCACGCCAGGAAGCCCGAGGGCGCCGGTCCGGCTCTGAGACCTGGGAAAACTGCTTAACTCCTCTGAGTCTTGATGTTCCCATCTTTAAAGTGGAGCCGACGCTTCCTCCTCAGAAGGCCATTTGGAAGAAACGACTTGGTCCAGCAGGCGCTTTGTCCAAACTGGCTCAAAACAGGGCTCGTCTGTGCCCAAGGGTGGACACGCCTCAGGGCGGAGACCTTTTTTGTCCCCAGTAAGTCAAACCCCCAAAAGCAGAAGGTGGAGATT